CCCATATATAGTTTCGTCCGATTTCATGTAAATGGTGCCCCAGAGTCCCTATATATCTTTCGATTTGCACGAAATTTGGTATAACGTACTGAATTGAGCCTAGAATGATATCTGCCAAGTTTCGAGAAAATCGGTCCAGATTTAGATATAGCTCCCATATATAGTTTCGTCCGATTTCATGTAAATGGTGCCCCAAAGTCCCTATATTTCATTCGATTTGCACGAAATTTGGCATAACGTACTGAATTGATCCTAGAATGATGTCTGCCATGTTTCAAGAAAATCGGTCCAGATTTAGATATAGCTCCCATATATAGTTTCGTCCGATTTCATGTAAATGGTGCCCCAAAGTCCCTATATATCTTTCGATTTGCACAAAATTTGACATAACGTACTGAATTGAGCCTAGAATGATGTCTGCCAAGTTTCGAGAAAATCGGTCCAGATTTAGATATAGCTCCCATGTATAGTTTCGCCCGATTTCATGTAAAGGGTGCACCAAAGTCCCCATATATATCCTTCGATTTGCACGAAGTTTGGCATAACGATAATGATTTAGATATAGCTCCCTTTTATTATAGATTGATTTTAAGTAATTGACGCGACAAGGAACCAATAGGGTGATAGGAACCAAACGTTCTGAAATTAGTATAACCTAACCTGTGACAAGTTTGTGTGAAATCGCTTAATATTTGGATAGAACTTCCATATATATTTTCGCCCGATTTCAAGTAAATTGGGCATCAAACTCCTCATGTTAGTCAGATTGACATCAAATTCTGCACAACGTACAAAATTGAGCCTAGAATTACGTAGTTGCGTTTTATAGAAGTACAGACATTCCCCAACGGATGACCTATTTATATTTGTTTGAAGTCGATTTACATACTTTTGTCCCATTGTAACATACGAATGACATGTTAATGGATAGATCTAGGTAGATTCACATTTAGAAAAATATCACATATTTTATTTCATCCCATTTCACGCTAATAGTCCTGTTTAATATACCCATAGTGGTGAAGGGTATCATATAGTCGGCCCCGTCCGACTTTACTACTTTCCTTACTGGTTTCCTATTGTATTCAATTAGAATTAAAATCAATTGAATATCGAATTGAATCGAATCTGGTGTAACGAAATTTTTGTCGTTGTATTTGTCCACTTGATTTTTATTAGCCTTGGTGCAGCTGTGTTTTAGCCTTTATTTAAGGGATCGTCTTATATTTTTTTCTAATCTCTTTTTGCTTGTTGTAGCCACTAAACTATGACCGAGCAACCAATTGAATTTTTATGTGATAGAAAAAGAAGAAGCATAAGAAAAAGGAACGAAAAAAGAGTAAATAGACCAATGCTTAGATAGGCCTTTGACACTTCTATTATTTTGTTCTTGTTGTTGTTGGGTGTTGGTTGTACTTGTTTCATTAAAACCATAAAATTTCTTAACAAATCTCCAATCTGCACACAGACACAAACTAACGCCACCAATGCCATCCTCTTTTGGGTTCAAATGTGGGAGGTTTGGTGAATGGTTTTTTCTCTCTCAACTAAAATATTAAAAAAACAAAAACAACAAAGACGAAGTTAAGTTCCATCGAGGCGAACTTCGTTTGCTCTACGTCATGATGGAAAAATAATATAACTTATTTTTATACCCTTCACCACACTGTGGTACAGGGTATTATGTCTTTGTGCATATGTTTGTAACAGGCAAAAATAATCGAGATAGACCCATGGTTCCTTTTGAGAATATGCATAGAATCACTTTCTAAGTCGATTTATGCATGTCCGTCCGTCCGTCTGTCTGTCTGTCTGTGCATGTTAAATTGTAAACAAAGTACAGGTCGCATTTATGATCCGAATTGGATGAAATTTAGCATAGGTCACTTATTTGGCCCAAGGACGAACCCTATTGAAATTGGGAAAAATCGGTTCAGATTTAGATATAGCTCCTATATATATATATTTTACCGATTTAATGTAAACGGTCCCTATATATCTCTCGATTTGCACGAAATTTGGTACAGCCTAATCATTTAGGTCTAGAATGATATGTGCCAAGTTTCGTGAAAATCGGTCCAGATTTAGATATAACTCCTATATATAGTTTCGTCCGATTTCATGTAAATGGTGCACCAAAGTCCCTATATATCTTTCGATTTGCACCAAATTTGGTATAACGTACTGAATTGAGCCTAGAATTATGTCTGCCAAGTTTCTAGAATATCGGTCCAGATTAAGATATAGCTCCCATATATAGTTTCGTCTGATTTCATGTAAATGGTGCACCAAAGTCCCCATATGTCTTTCGATTTGCACGAAATTTGACATATCGTACTGAATTAAGCCTAGAGTGATGTCTGCCAAGTTTCGAGAAAATCGGTCCAGATTTCTATATAGCTCCCATATATAGTTTCGTCCGATTTCATGTAAATGGTGCCCCAAAGTCCCTATATATCTTTCGATTTGCACTAAATCTGGCATATCGTATTCAATTAAGCCTAGAGTGATGTCTGCCAAATTTCGAGAAAATCGGTCCAGATTTAGATATAGCTCCCATATATAGTTTCGTCCGATTTCATCTAAATGGTGCCCCAAAGCCCCCATATGTCTTTCGATTTGCACGAAATTTGACATATCGCACTGAATTAAGCCTAGACTGATGTCTGCCAAGTTTCGAGAAAATCGGTCCAGATTTAGATATAGCTCCCATATATAGTTTCGTCCGATTTCATGTAAATGTTGCCCCAAAGTCCCTATATATATTTCGATTTGCGCGAAATTTTGCATAACGTACTGAATTGAGCCTAGAATGATGTCTGCCAAGTTTCGTGAAAATCGGTCCTGATTTAGATATAGCTCCCATATATAGTTTCGTCCGATTTCATATAAATAGTGCACCAAAGTCCCTATATATCCGTCGATTTGCACGAAATTTGGCATAACGTACTGAATTGAGCCTAGAGTGATATCTGCCTTGTTTCGTGAAATGGGTTCAGATTGACGCACCAAGGAACCAATATGCTGGTAGGAACAAAACGTTCTGAAATTAGTATAACCTAACCTGTGACAAGTTTGTTTGAAATCGCTTAATATTTGGATAGACCTTCCATATATATTTTTTTGCCCGATTTCAAGTAAATTGGGCATCAAATTCCTCATGTTAGTCAGATCGACATCAAATTTTGCACAACTTACAAACTTGAGCATAGAATTACGTAGTTGGGTTTTGTAGAAGTACAGACATAGCCCAACGGATGACCTATTTTTATTTGTTTGAAGTCGATTTACATACTTTATGGATAGATCTAGGTAGATTCACATGTAGATAAATATCACATATTTCATCCAATTTCATGTTAATAGTCCTGTTTACTATACCCATAGTGGTGAAGGGTATCATATAGTCGGCCCCGTCCGACTTTACTACTTTCCTTACTGGTTTTTTCTATTAAAAAATTGTGGTAGAATTTTTTTTCCAAAAAGAAATTTGATCGATTTTTTGCAAAAAGAAATTTGGTCGATTTTTTTCAAAAAAAAATTTTTTTTTAAAGAGAAATTTACCACACTTTGGTACCGGGTATGTTTGTAACAGGCAAAAGGAAACGAGATAGACCCATAGTTCCTTTTGAGAATATGCATAGAATCACTTTGTGAGTCGATTTTATGTAAATGGTGCAACAATGTCCCTATATATTTATCGATTTGCACGAAATTTCGTACTGAGCCTAGAATGATGTCTGCTAAGTTTCGTGAAAATCGGTCCAGATTTAGATATAGCTCCCATATATATTTTCGTCCGATTTTAGGTTAATTGTGCACCAAAGTCCCTATATATCCTTCGATTTACACGAAATTTGGCACGACGTACTGAATTAAGTCTAGAACGATCTGTGTCAAATTTCGTAAAAATCGGTTCAGATTTAGATATAGCTCTCATATATATTTTCGTCCGATTTTAGGTTCATGGTACACCAAAGTCCCTATATATCTTTCGATTTGCACAAAATTTGGCATAGCGTACTGAATTATGTCTAGAAAGATTTGTGTTAAATTTCCTTAAAATCGGTCCAGATTTAGATATAGTTCCCATATATATTTTCGTCCGATTTTAGGTAAATAGAGTAGCAAAGTCCCTATATATCTTTCGATTTGCACGAAATTTGGCATAGCGTACTTAACTGAGCCTAGAATTATGTTTTCTTAGTTTCGTGAAAATCGGTTCAGATTTAGATATAGCTTCCATATATATTTTCGTCCGATTTAAGGTAAATGGTGCATAAAGTCCCTATATATCTATCGATTTGCACAAAATTTGGCATAGCGTACTGAATTGAGTCTAGAATGATGTCTGCTAAGCTTCGTAAAAATCGGTTCAGATTTAGGTATATTATATCATGTCAATGTTCCTTCGAAGAAGCGGAGTCTGTTAGGAGACATATGTTGGTTGAATTTGCTCAAATAAAAAAATGTAGAACAAACAATTCCATGGATGTTGTTATCGAATCTAGAGTGCGCCCACACATAAGTGTACGTATTTGTATGAGTGTGTCTATGTTTGTTTTACTAAGATTTTTGCTAGGCTTGGTTTACTATTTTTATCAATTACAAATAGTACACAGTGGTTTGTTTTTTATTTAATTATCATTTATTATTTTTATTATATATATATTTATATATATATATATATATATATTTTTTTTTTTTGTTTTTTTTGTTTGTAAAAATATAAGGCCTTAGTCCAAAGACCCATAAATTTGTTCTATGTAAAAATAAAGGACCTAATATTATTGCGACCCTCTTTTTTGCATACAAAATATCTCAGACTACAGACCGAACCACTTTTTGGCATCCAAAATATCTCGGACTACTACTGAACCACTGTTTGCTTTGTAATTTCCGGTATTAAATTTTGATATCAAAAATAATAATTTTTCAATACCACATAATTTAAAAAAATCACTACTTCTCTTTAGTCCACATTTGATTACCAAAGTGACATGTTGTACTTCATACTGGTGCTAGGTTTTTTTGCGGCAACTGCAGGAGGTATTACCACACCTCCAACGGTAGGTCAAATACTTTTTTTGAGAGAAATTACACAAAAAGTAAATTGAACACATATTTTCTTCTAGGTCGGAACAGAGGATACAATCAGTATTAATCCTGAATACGAAACCATGCAGCAACGTAATGAACTATTAAAACGCCATCTCGATTTGATGAATTTTACCTTCAATATAAATCATCTGAAATTTGAGAAAAAAATGCAAAAACTTTTTACCGAATTGGAGATGTCGAATGAAATTACTGCACTAAATGAAAATGAGCCGCAACAATCGATGTCGAAAAATACAATATCAGATGCAGAAAAAATCTATTTTACGGATATAAGGGCAGAAGGTGAGTGGTAAAAAATAGTTTTATAAAATCCATCCATTTAAATTGTAATATCAATCAGGCGCCCATATGGGAGCTGTATCTAAATCGGAACCGATTTTCACAAAACATAGCACACATCATTAATTCAGTACGTTATGCAGAAATTCGTGCAAATTGGAAGATATATAGGGGCTTTAGTATACCATTTACAGAAAATCGGAAGCAAATATATATGGGAGCTATATATAAATCTGAACCGATTTTCAGGAAACTTAACACACATCATTTCAGACCCAATTCAGTACCCTATGCCAAATTTCGTGCCAATCCAAAGATGGTTAGGGACTTTGCTGCCCCATTAACTTTAAATCGGACGAAAATATATATGGGAGCTATATATAAATCTGAACCGATTTTCACGAAACTTAGTACACATCATTCTCGACTTAATTCAGTACCCTATGCCAAGTTTCGTGCAAATCGAAAGATATTTAGGGACTTTGCTGCCCCATTAACTTTAAATCGGACGAAAATATATATGGGAGCTATATATAAATCTGAACCGATTTTCTCGAAATTTTACGCACGTCATTCTAGACATTATTCATTGCGCTGTGCCAAATTTCGTGCAAATCGAAAGTTATATAGGGACTTTGGTGCACCATTTACCTTAAATCGGACGAAGATATATATGGGAGCTATATCTAAATCTCAACCGATTTTCATGAAACTTAGTACACATAATTCTCGACTTAATACAGTACCCAATGCCAAATTTCGTGCGAATCGAAAGATATATAGGGACCTTTGTGCCCAATTAACATGGAATCGGACGAAAATATATAGGAGCTATATCTAAATCTAAACCAATTTTTCCGAAACTTACCACACATTCTAAACTCACTTCAGTACGCTATGCCAAAATTCGTGCACATCGAAGGATATTTAGGGACTTTAGTGCACCATTTACCTTAAATCGGACGAAAATATATGTGGGAACTATATCTAAATCTGAACCGATTTTCAAGAAGCTAGACACAAATCATTCTAGACCTAATTCAGTACACTATGCCAAATTTCGTGCAATTCGAAAGAACTTTGGTACTCCATTTACATTATATCGGACGAATATATATATGGGAGCTATATATAAAACTGAACCGATTTTCACAAAACTTAACACACATCATTTTAGACCTTATTCCGTTCGCTGTGCCAAATTTCGTGCAAATCGAAAGATATATAGGGACTTTGGTGCCCCATTAACTTTAAATCGGACGAATCTATATATGGGAGCTATATATAAAACTGAACCGATTTTACCGAAACTTAGCACACATCATTTCAGACCTTATTCCGTACGCTGTGACAAATTTCGTGCAAATCTAAAGATATTTAGTGACTTCGGTGCACCATTTACCTTAAATCGGCCGAAAATATATATGGTAGCTTTATCTAAATCGGAACCGATTTTCACAAAATTTAACACACATCGTGCTAGACTTAATTCCGTACGTTATGCCAAATTTTGTGCGCATCAAAGGTTATATAGAGATTTTGGTGCTCTATTTACCAAAAATCGGACGAAAATATATATGGGAGCTACATCACAATCCGAAACGATTTTTTTCCAATTTCAATAGGGTTCGTTCTTGGGCCGAATAAGTGACCTGTGCCAAATTTCATCCAATTCAGATTATAAATGCGACCTGTACTTTGTTTACAATTTAACATGGACAGACAGACGGACGGACGGACTTGCATAAATCGACTCAGAAAGTGATTCTATGCATATTCTCAAAAGGAACCATGTGTCTGTCTCGTTTCCTTTTGCCTATTATAAACATAAGCACAAAGATATAATACCCTGTACCACAGTGTGGTAAAGGGTATAAAAATGCATGCCTTATATAGTGCCCCTAAAATTTCTTTTTAAAAAATCCTCACCTTACACAGTGCCTCTAAAAATAGTTGTTATAATTTTTAAAATACCCCCGCCTTATATAGTGCCATTATTTTTTTTTTAATCCTCGCTTTATATAAAGCATTAAAAATTATTATTATTTTAACATTTTGAGTTTTTATTGTTGGTTGTTTTTTTCAGAAGAACCCAAGGTATGCAAATCGAGTAATGGCACTCAGCTTGTATGGTAAGTACGTAGCCAAAATGTAATCAACTTAATATCTCTCGTTCTCTCTCTCTCTCCCCTCTCTTACATTCATTCATTTTCAGCACAAAATTATCGCTTGCTGAGAGTTGTACCGATTCAAATGAACTCAATTGTCGTGATGGGCTGTGTCGCATAAAAAACCACATCTATGGTCCCAAGTCTTTCTGGGTTCCCTGTGATGGCGATTGGACAATTGTCCAGCGGCGCATCAATGGGTCCGTCGACTTCCAGAGAAAGTGGTTGGACTACAAGACGGGCTTTGGAAATTTGCATGGAGAATTTTGGCTCGGCTTAGATAAAATCCATTCCCTAACGGCTCTTTACGGAGGCGTTGAACTTAAAATTGAAATGCAGGATTTTGACAACGTCTGGAGATATGTCCACTATAAATCGATTTCTGTTGGCAATGAAACAACAAAATATAAATTAAGTGTGGGCGATTATAGTCAATCGGCTGCTGGGAACTCGCTCAGTATCCATAATGGACAATATTTTTCAACAATCGACCAAGACAATGATAAGGATTCTAGTAAGAATTGTGCTTCTACATTAATGGGGGCTTGGTGGCACTATACCTACAATATGGGGTATGTCGAAAGGGTAAACAATTAAAAATGATGGAATTTTTTTTTTTTTAATTTTTTGTTGTTTTTGTTTTTTCTATTTATGTCCACAGCAACTGCATTAGCAATTTGAATGGTTTCTATTACAAAGATGGTGTCATTCCAGGAGACAAGCCTGGCAGTGGAATTGTGTGGTCAACATTTCGTGGAAAATTCAATTCATTGAAATTTGTTCAAATGAAAATTAAACCGAAAAGCGAAAATAAATAAAAAAGAAATATTGTTTTTCCAAGTGAAAATCATTTCCAGATTTGCAAAAAAAAAAATATATATATATATATATATATATATATATACCAAAATAAAGTTTTCATTAAAAAATGCCAGTTGAATTATTTTTTTTCTGCATTAAATGTTAGCTGAATAGCTGAAACAAGTGGCTGAATTGAGTATTTCTTAGGGGCAAAAAAAATCCCCTTAGCTGAAATAGGATTCACAAACCGAACGACAAGAAAACACTACCGCAACATATTATACTGCAGTAGGAGCTCCTAACAGCAACAAATAAAATAAGAAAACGAACGCCCGAACGAACGAATGAGACGCAATTCTTAGTCGCTGGCATCCTTACAAAATACAATAACAAAGAATAAAACTGGATGTAATGGCGCGAATTATTGCATTAAATGTCTAACACTTGAATTCGAAATCCAAAAAAAAAACCAAATGGTCCACGAGCTACACCAGCGTTGTTTGCTCAGTCGGAACAATATCCGGATAACATGGACACAAAGAAGAAGATGAACAGAACTGTAATGGCTGTAACATAGAAGGACAGCAGCAGCAACAACAACAATAGCCAAGAAAACTACAACAATATTCACTTCCTTTGCATGGGAATGGGGAAACTACAAAATAAAATGGATAGCGAGGGCTATGGAAAAAATATTTAAAGCATGGATTTTTCTAAAAAAAATATTTTCTAGGCATGGAATAAGTTTACAAGGCGTAGACAAATATTTTTATACCCTTCACCACACTGTGGTGCCGGGTATTATGTCTTTGTGCATATGTTTGTAACAGGCAAAAGGAATCGAGATAGACACATGGTTCCTTTTGAGAATATGCATAGAATCACTTTCTAAGTCGATTTATGCATGTCCGTTCGCCTGTCCGTTTGTTGATGTTAAATTTTAAACAAAGTACAGGTCACATTTATGATCCGAATTGGATGAAATTTGCCATAGGTCACTTATTTGGCCAAATGACGAACCCTATTGAAATTGAGAAATATCGTCTCAGATTTAGATATTACTTACTTAGCTGGTTTGTTACAGAACGGTTGTTCCATAAGCCGAGCTTAAAAAAGATTTCCAAGCGCGTCGGTCTTGTGCGCAAGTCCACCAATTTGGAAGACCACGTTCCCATATGTTGTTTTCTACTTGGTCTTTTCATCTAATTCGTGGCCTTCCCCTTCTACGGGAACCATCAGTAGGCTCATTTTTATATGCCTTTTGAACTGGGCCATTTTCATTCATCCGCACCACATGGCCTAGCCACCGTAGTCGCTGCAGCTCAATACGACTGACTATGTCGATGTACGCGTATAAATTGTAACGATCGTGGTTCATTCGACGCCGATATTCACCGTCGACGCAGATCGACCCGTAGATCATTCGGAGAATTTTTCTCTCAAACACCCCAAGAGGTGCCTCATCTGCTTGCGCAAATACCCATGCTTCTGATCCATATAATAGCACGGGTAGTATCAGCGTCTTGTAAAGTGTGAGTTTGGTCTACGCAGATCGGCCCGTAGATCTTTCGGAGAATTTTTCTCTCAAACACCCCAAGCGCTGCCTCATCTGCTTGCGCAAGTACCCATGCTTCAGATCCATATACCAGCACGGGTAGTATCAGCGTCTTGTAAAGTGTGAGTTTGGTCTGGCGGAAGGTGGCGTTGTTTCTAAACTGCTTACTTATACCATACTAGCATCTGTTGGCCATCACAATCCTTCTGCGAACTTCAAACCCGATGTCATTCGTTTTATTTATGGCGGTACCAAGGTATATAAAGTCATTAACTACCTCGATGCTGTAGTTCTCAAGTTCCACAGTTGGTCCGAGTCAACTGGACGTTTTGCGCGTTGATACCATCAACTTGGTCTTCTCGCCGTTTATTGCCAGACCCACTTTGACAGACACCTTTTCAATTTGTTCAAAGGTGGATGTTACCGCTCGCAATGTTCGACCCATTATATCGATGTCATCGGTGTAGGCGGGTAACATGTGTTGTTTGGTGTACAGAGTGCTACTTTTGTTCACCTTTGCGTCTTGTATGACATTTTCCAGCAGGATGTTAAAAAGATCATACGACAAACTGTCACCTTGTCTGAATCCTCGTTCGGTTTTGAAGGCCTCCGATAGGTCCTTTCCTACTTTAACTGCTAACCTTGTGCCACTTAAAGTTATCCTGCATAGCCGTATTAATTTTACAGGAATGCCGAACGTAGACATGGCTTTAAACACCTCTGAACGGATAGGGCTATCGAATGCGGCTTTATAGTCCACAAATAGGTGGTATGTGTCGATGTGTTTTTCGTGGGTCTTTTCCAAAATTTGGCGCAGAGTGAAATTGTAGTCAATGGTGGATTTGCCAGGTCTGAAGCCGCATTGGTAGGGTCCAATAATGTCATTGACCATTGCTTCAATCTTTCACACAGCACACTGGATAACACATTATATGCGATGGGAACAGGCTAATTCCTCTATATTTGGCACATATCGTCTTGTCTCCTTTTTTGTGTGCGGGACACAGGATGCTGAGGTTCCAATAATTGGGCATGCATCCCTCTAACCAAATTGTACTAATCAGCTGGTGCATGCTCCTGACCAGCATATGACCACCAGTCTTGAATAGTTCGGCTTGTAAACCATCGGCACCTGCTGCTTTATTATTCTTCAGCCGATTGATTGCTATTCTGACTTCATCTTGGCTAGGAGGTATACACTCTATACCGTCATCTATTATTGGTTCTTGGATATCCTCTTCACCGCTAGCATTTGATACCAGAAGCTTTTCAAAATGCTCCTTCCAGATCCTCAGCACGCTGTCTGTATCTGTCACCAGGTTTCCTTCTTCATCTCTACAGGAGGATGTGCCAGCAGCAAAGCCTTCGGTTTGGTGTTTTACCCGCTGGTAGAATGTTCGGACTTCATTCTGACTCCTGTACATCTCGATTTACTTACGCCCACGTTTTTCTTGTTCTTCCTTCTTTTTTTCTGAAAATACGTTTCTCCTCTCTCCTTTTCTCCCGATAATTTTCCATCACATTACGTGTTGCTACTGTCTGCAGGGTTGCCCTATACGCTGCGTTTTTCACATCAGTAGCATTACAACACTCCTGATCGTACCATGGGTTTCTTGGTGGTGGTTTTTGCCCAAGTGTTGCTTTTGCTGCAGTTTGTAGGGAGTGAGCAATTCTTTGCCATTGTGCTTCTATACTATTATCGGGACAAGAAGTGCTTTCGTCAAGCAGGTGGGTAAGTTGAGCGGAGTAGGCCTCGGCTACCTGTTGTGTTTGCAGCTTTTCGACATAGAGTTTCCGTCTTGTGTTAGATATCACCTGTGCTGCAAAATTAAGACGAGTGCGAACCCTGGCTGCTACAAGGTAGTGTTCCGAATTGATATTCGCTCCTCGGATCGATCGAACGTCTAATACACTGGATGAATGTCTTCCGTCTATTACAACATGATCGATTTGATTTCGCGTTGTTCGATCGGGAGAAATCCAGGTGGATTTGTGTATATCGAGATGCTTGAATCTGATGCTGCTAACTACCATGTGCTTTTTTTTGCCGCGAAGTCAATCAACCTCATGCCGTTGTCGGATGTTTCTTCATGGAGGCTGAATTTTCCGACGGTGGGGCCAAAGACATTTTCCCTTCCGATTTTTGCATTAAAATCTCCTAGCAGAATTTTTATGTCATGGCCTGGGCAGCGATCATATGCTTTTTCTAGGCGCTCATAAACAAAGCCTTTGGTCTGCTCATCTTTGTCTTCGGTCGGAGCATGGGCGCAAATAAGACTGATGTAGAAGAACTTTGCTTTTATGCGGATTATAGCAATTCGCTGAATTGAATCTGGAGACGATGTTTTTTATTCTCCTGTTGACCATAAATCCGCAGCCAAATTCATGTCTCGCTTCATGACAGCTATAATACAGTGTGTAATCGTCTGATTTACTTACGCCTGTCCCTTTCCATTGCATTTCCTGTAAGGCAATAATATCGGCTTTGTACTTCTTGAGTACATCCCCCAAAGCGAAAACTGCACCTGTTCTGTACAAGGTGCGCACATTCCATGTACAGATTCGCAGATCGTGGTCCTTTGTATGGGTTTGGTTTTCGTTTTCTTCGCTTTTTCATAGTAGAAGGGAGTTTCCGAGTGTGGGCAACAAACCCGACGCCTCAACCCATTTTTATACCATCCACCATAGTATGGAGGGTAAATTAATTTTGTCATTCCGTTTGTAACTTACCGAAATATTCATTTCCGATCCTATAAAGTATATATATTCTTGATCAGGGTAAAATTCTAAGACGATCTAGCCATGTGCGTCCGTCTGTTGTAATCACTCTATCTTCTGAAGGAATTGAGGTAGGGTGCTGAAATTTTGCATAGGGTTGTCTTTTGTCTGCAGGCAGGTCAAGTTCGAAGATGGGATATATCGGTCCACGTTTAGGCATAGCTCCCATATAAGGGTACCCCCCAATTTTCGGTATTTTGGGGTTCTTGAGCGTGTTTTTCAACCGAATTCGCTGAAATTTGGTACATTGGGTTCTTATTGGATACTAAATGTATCTACAAAAAATTATAAGTATAGGTCCATATTTTCTGGTAGCCCCCATATAACGGTACCTTCTAATTTTCAGTATTTTTGGGGGTTTTGGTCCTGCATAACCGTATTATTTTTGCAGGAATGCCGAACGCACACATGGCTTTAAACACCTCTGAACGGATAGGGCTATTTAGATATAGCTCCCATATATATTTTCGCCCAATTTTAGGCAAATGGTGAACCAAAGTCCGTACATAACTTTAGATTTGCACGAAATTTGGAATAAC